TGAGACAAACTGTTTAATGACTCCAGGCAGGCCTGGACTGGCCATCGGGCACACGGGGCAAATGCCCGGTGGGCCGCGGTGGCCGTGGGGCCGAGGCCGGCTGGGGAGGTCCCAGGATCTCCCCTGCCGGTCCATGCAGGGCCGGCACTCTCCTAGCGCCGGCCTCGCTGTTTGCCACGACGGGCCGGTGGGGAGATCAAAGCTCTCCCTCACCGGCCCAAATGCGGCCGCCGGCGGGGAGGGAGGGAGACAGACAGACAGCCAGCCAGCCTGGAGAGAGGACCCGGCGGAGCTCTAACTTGCAGCTCCGCCAAGTTCCTCTCGCGAGATCCGGCGCGTTGCCATGGCAACGACCGGATCTCGTGAGAGTGAACTCTAGCCTCACAGGCTAGAGTTCACACACCCACGAGGACCACCAGGGAACACCGCCTCCCCACCTCCCAGTCCCAGCGTGCCAGCGGGGGGGACATAATGCCTGTTTTTTGTTTATTTACCCCCCCCTACACACACACTATAACATTTATACAGCACTCTCACACCCATCACACACAGCACTCTCTCACACCCATCACACACAGCACTCTCTCATACAGCACTCTCACACCCATCACACACAGCACTCTCTCACCCATCACACTCTCACACCCATCACTCTCACACTCACAGCACTCTCTCACAGAGCACTCACACACACACACATCACTCTCTCACACAGCACTCTCACACCCATCACACACAGCACTTTCACACACACACAGCACTCTCTCACAGCACTCTCTCAGAGCACTCTGTCACACACCCAGCACTCTCTCACACAGCACTCTCTCACAGAGCACTCTCACACACACACAGCACTCTCTCACACAGCACTCTCACACCCATCACACACAGCGCTCTCACACCCATCACACACAGCACTCTCTCACACACAGCACTCTCTCACAGCACTCTCTCACAGCACTCTCACACACAGCACTCTCACACACAGTACTCTCACAGAGCACTCTCACACAGCACTCGCACACCCATCACACACAGCACTTTCACACACACAGCACTCTCACACCATTCACACACAGCACTCTCACACAGCACTCTCACACCCATCACTCACACACTGCACTCTCACACCCATCACTCACACACGGCACTCACACACATCACACACACACGGCACTCTCACACACATCACACACACATGGCACTCTCACACACACCGCACTCTCACACACACCGCACCCCTCACACACACACATACTGCACCCCTCACATATACACAGAACCCCCCCAACACACTGCACCACACACATACACAATACTTCCAAATATATTTATATATATATACACACACACACACTACACTCTTAAAGGACCACTCTAGGCACCCAGACCACTTCAGCTTAATGAAGTGGTCTGGGTGCCAGGTCCTTCTAGGGTTAACCCATTGTTTTATAAACATAGCAGTTTCAGAGAAACTGCTATGTTTATCAATGGGTTAAGCCTTCCCCCAAAGCCTCTAGCGGCTGTCTCATTGACAGCCGCTGTCTCATTGACAGCCGCTAGAGGCGCTTGCGTGCTTTTCACTGTGAAAATCACAGTGAGGGCACGCAAGCATCCATAGGAAAGCATTATAAATGCTTTCCTATGCCACCGGCTGAATGCGCGCGCAGCTCTTGCCGCACGTGCGCATTCAGCCGACGGGGCGGATCGGAGGAGGAGAGCTCCCCGCCCGGCGCTGGAAAAAGGTACGTTTTAACCCCTTTCCATAGCCAGACGGGTATGTTTTCCTGGCACTATAGTGGTCCTTTAACATACACACTCTGGATCCCCTATACACACACTAGATTCCTTGTAAGCAAACACATACTACACCCCTAAACACACACACACTATAGCCTGTATGCACACACTTGCTATATCCCCAATACACACATTCTCTACAGCCCATAGCCACATATGCATCGCATTACACCCAGGGCCGGTGCTAGGATTTTTGACTACACAGGCGAAGATGCATTTTGACGCCCCCCCCTCAAAAAAATAAACAATGCATCTTCACCTCTGTGTCTCGTAGCCCCCTTTTGAATTTCTTACCCCCATTAGTGTTGCATATCCACTCTCTTGAATGTCTTACCCCTTTGGCCCCTTTGTGCCTTACACCCCCCTTTAGTGCGTCTCCTACAACCCCTCTTATGTATTTCTTACTTCCCTGCCAGCCCCTTTCTGTCTCTTTCTTCCCTCCAATCCCTATCTATCTCTCTTTTTCTCCCACATAGACATAGATACAGGCAAAAATACATACATGCACAAATACACAAACATACAGACATACAGACACACAACCATACAAGCACACAGACATAATTTTTCAGGCACACAGTCACAAAGATATACAGACACACAGTCATAAAAGGCACACAAACAAACACAGTCATACAATCTACACATACAAGTACATTGTCGTACAAACACAGACATACATTCATACAGACACAGGCACTCACAGAAATACATACACAGACATAAAGAAACAGAGATAGGCATACAGAGACATACATACACAGACAAACAAAGAACCCTGCACACTGACACTGTGTAAATGCTCCGGCCATCTACAGAGGTGGATGCTCCATGTCAGGCAGACATTGCTGGATCCACCAGTAAAGTCTTCAAAAGGAATAAACGCAGGCAACACTCCAATAGTAAGGATGGTATATTTATTGGTAGATGAACCACCCCATAGAAAGTGTGATGTTTCAGCTCATGCAATAAGGCTCTGCTGAGCCGAAACGACGCACTTTCTTTGGGGTGGTTCACCTATCAATAAATATACCATCCTTACTATTGGAGTGTTGCCTGCGTTTATTCCTTTTGAATACATTTACACAGTCATACAGAGACATACATGGTGTATGTCTCTGTATGACGGTCTGTGTATGTACACAGGATGGCTAAAAGATAGACCCCCATCTGTCGTGCAACTTCAACAATGCTTTGAAAGCTGGGGCTCTACCGATTCCCCATGCTTGCAGGATTGTATTTAGCATGGAGCAGTATTTGTGTGTTTGACTGTAAGCATGTGTTTGTATGGAGTATGTTTGTATGATTGTAGCGGTGTGTTTGTATGTAGTGTTTGCATTTGAATGCAAGCATGTATTTATGTGTAGTGTTGGTTTTTGAACGCAGGTGTGTGTTTATATATAATTTTGGTGTCTGATACAGAGGTGTGTTTGTATGTAGTGTTGACATTTGAATGCAGGGGTGTGTTTGTATGTAGTGTTGACGTTTGCATGCAGGTGTTTATTTGTGTGTAGTGTTGTGTTTGAATGCTGAGATATATGCACATATACACATACACTGCCACACACGCACACACTGTGATACACATATACAAAGATACACACACTGACACATGCAGATATACATATACACAAACTGATACACATTCAGATAGACACACAGGTACACACAAACACTGACAGACATACAGATAAACACACAGTGACAGACACACATACACAATGATAGGGAAGAAGACATACTAACAGACAGACACACACACTAACAGACATTTAGATACACACAGACACACGGACAGAGACATATACATACACACACACACTGACAGACATGGATACACACACACACTGACAGACATAGATACACACACACACACTGACAGACACACACACACACTGACAGACATAGATACACACACACTCACTGACAGACATATACACACACACTGACAGACAGACATATATACACACACACACACTGACATATACACACACACACACTGACAGACATACACACACACTGACAGACATATATACACACACACACACTGACAGACAGATACACACACACTGACAGACATATACACACACAGACACACTGACAGACATACACACACACACTGACAGACATAGATACACAGACACACTGACAGACATTTAGATACACACAGACACACGGACAGAGACATACATACACACACACTGACAGACATGGATACACACACACACTGACAGACATAGATACACACACACGCACTGACAGACACACACACGCGAGCAGACATAGATACACACACACACTCACTGACAGACATATACCACACACACTGACAGACAGAC